ATATATATATATATTATACTTTAAATATAAAATAAATAGTTTATAATGTGACAAAAAGTTATTTTAATTATTATTGATTTATTTTAAAATATATATTAAAACTTAATACATTAGAAAATATGATGAATGAAAAGTAAATTAAATAAATAAATAAAATTAGACGCCTCTAAAAAATATTGACCTCTAAAATAACTCTCATAAAAATACATCAAGTTATATAAGAAAAAAGATTTATATTTAAAGTCTAATCTATTTGATAAAAAATCAGATTTAGATTTTTTTTAAAAAATTATTTGCAAAAAATAAGTTTAAGTTTATAAAAAATCTTTTCAATTTAATAAAATGATTTATTTATTTATATAATATAATAAAAAATAAATATAAATATTATATTATTAACAATATAATTAAATAAATAAATTTATAATAAAAAAATTAAATTATCAATATTTTAACATCTTCATTATGTTTTATATTCTTTGTTCACATCAAAATCAAAAGATCAAAAATAAAAACTCTAATAGTTATATTTTTGTTTTATTTTAATGGTTGATTATTTAAATTATTTCAAATAGAATAGATATAATATTTAAAAGAAGGAAAAAGTTATAAGTTTATCTTCTTTCATTACGAGATATGTATGAATATATATATGAATCGTTCATATTACATTAGTTTTTTATTTTTATTTTAAATTCTAAATTGTAATAATAATTTTTTTTTTGTTTTTATCACTTAAATTAAAAAAAATCACGCCCACATACTTAAAATATATTTATTAGTTTATTTAAAAATAATTTTATTTATTTATTTAATATTATTACTCTAAAATAGACTTTTAAATAAATTTATAGATAGAACCAAAGTTTAAAAAAAAAACATGTTAAACAGTTTATAGATGAAACCAAAGTTTTAAAAAAATCATGTTAAACATGTATAAAAAATTATAATAAACAATAAATTTGGCCTAAATATTTAAAGTGTAACCTAACATATCTATGGGTGCAACTATGATATGAAGCATGACACTGGCTCTGACCAACCAAACCTACAAGCAAATAGCTTCTCTTATACTTCTGATATTAAGCCTCAGGCAGGCTGAACATTGTTTGAGTCCCTACTCAATTTCCACCAATAAAATAGTGTTTGGCTGCGACTTATCACCTTGTGGATTTTTCATGATTCATACAACACATTATAAATGTCATCATTTGTCAGATTACTAATACTCATAATAACAAGTGCACTGCATGTGATTCATTTACAGGATCATCACACAAATACTAGTAGAAAAAGGAGCTACTTCGTCTCTTTATTTACGTCAGAAATTAGTACACCCGACATTGTAAAAATGCGGTGACAGTTACATAAATAAGAGGAGGAAATTTATGTCGGACATAGATGGGTCTGACGTAAATTAGATAATTTACGTCGGCTGCTTTAGCTGTCTGACGTAAATTATCTCATTTACGTCGGACCCATCTTTATCCGACGTAAATAACTTCTTAAATGAAGGTGTGCGCGCACTATAAATTTCAAATCGTGGCATTCTTCCTCATCTTCACGTTCTCCCGTGCGTTGTGGATTTTTCTTCCTCATCCCTCCGCCTCCTCCTCAAATTGTGGCTGTCTTCCTCATCTTCACGTTCTTTTGTTTTTCTTCTTCGGAGTTGCGTTGGTTTCTTCTTCGCGTGTTGATGGAAATGGCTTAATCATACATCCATCTGTTTTTCTATGAGGTAGCATCTTCTATCAAGTTTGTGTTTTCTGGGATGTTTTTCTTCGTAATAATGTTTGTGTTGCAATTCGTGTTTGTGAAGTTGCAGAAGGAAGTGACCAAGTCTGGATTTGGAGAACCCACTGCCTGGGTCTATCAAGCAGAACGGCCCGTTCTCCAAGCAGAACGGGCCTTTCTCCAAGCAGAACGGCCCGTTCTGCTTGCACTTGTGTTTTTTTTTTTTATTATTTAATTTTTATGACTTTTTTACGTCGGACCTTGGCATGTCCGATATAAATTTACGTCGGTTTTTGCGCCCCAATGTAAATTTACGTCTCCCGCTTTTACATCGAACATTTTTCTGACGTAAAAACCCTCCAATAACCAGCGTAAAATATGTATTGTGTACTAGTGAAACTAAGGATTTTATCTTTAAAATAAGATCTCAACCTATACCAGGACTCTTAAATATTCATAACTTAGACAATAACTGAATTTTTCTAAAGATAACTATCGTACTATAAGACTTGTCATTAAAAAGTTGATGACATTTTGCACCATTAACAAAATAACCCAATAAAATAAACTAAAATGTATTACTTTAAAAATAAATTTTAACTTGAAAAAATAATTTTACAATGGATGGGAAGAAAGATGAACGGTGTCCCTGGATTACACATGCTCGTGCCCACCAACTAAGAAATCCGAATATCCAATCACTCAATCCAAGCAAAAGATGAAAAAATAATAATAATTTTTATTTTTTTGTTTTAATGTTTTACTCCTTTCAGTGTTTTCAATCGGGTAGGAGAAAACATAAATGAATTGGATTGACTTGGTTGAGATTTTGTAATAACTGTGAAATGAAATGTTTTTAAAGAATAAAGAGTTTTTTTTTCCTTCAGGTATGAGGCACATCTAATATGATAAATATATAGTGTAAATGTTAAGAAATTTGAATAAGTAAAAAATAAATAAAAGTAAAAATAAATTGTGATTACAGCATAAGCAAAAAACAACAAACAGTCCAGACAGGAAAAAGAGAAAATTAACAATGGGTCATAAAAATAATGTTGGTGTTATGAGAAATGATTAGGTTCTGAAAAATATCAAATTAGAGTGGATAAAAAAAACTAGTTTAATTTTTTATTCAAGAAAAAAACATCAACATGTTTACAATGTTTAGCTTATGCTCTCATTTGTTTTCCTAATTAACTTAAATTAAAAAAAAAATCTAGTAGTATGCAATAACCATTATTTTGATCATTTCTGTGACTTAATAAAAGATAATGGTTATCCTAACTCGAATAATACATGTTTTCATAATTAATTTTTAGCTTTGGGAAGGTTATGACCCAAATTTCTCTAAACCATCCAAATAAAAAACCTCGAACTTATATAGTTTTAGTTTCCCTGTGGATATAAAAATCTTACTTAAAATTAAATATTTCTAATTAGTGTGATTAGAATTGAATTGAATTGCCAATACATTTTGATATTTTGATACAATAGGTCCCTCATAACTGCTTTGGTACTCTCACTAGACACTGCCATGACATATCCACAAGACATATATATAATGTAAGTGTACGTTAACTTCGGAAAAAAAATGCTTGTAAAATTTTTAGCATGTTATTTAATTCTCTCATTTAATATTTTAGGTAAAATTTTACATGAACCTAGACAATAATAATCTAGCAACGTGTGAGGTACTCAAGCATAAAAATGAAGTACCCACCACAAATATCGGATATGTATATTTTATTCAATGACCCTGATCACATATCTAAATTACATATATTTTTTTTATAAATATTTAATATAATTATATGTTAAGAATTGAAAATTGGTGATTAAGTGAAACAATTTCTTACTATTAATTCATCAATGTTATACTTAAAGTGGAGATCATTAGAATTTGAATTAAAATAATTTAGTTAAGAGAAACACAATATGAATATGTTAATCTATTATTACATGGAAGTGAGGGGAAAGGCATGTCACAATGATGAGAGTTGAGTGTAGGAAGGACATGTTGCTGTTAGTGTCATTATATACTATGATAATGATTGCCCTCTGTGTCTCTGCCACACCCTCATAAATTTTAAATTAATGCAATGCTAACTTTAATTCTTTCTTACACATTAAAATACTTGTAAGCTTGGTCTCCCCACCAATGCCATTTATCGCAAATGCATATTCTAAGCTGGTTGGACAACTTTATTTTTTCTTTCAAAAAATAAGAATTTAGAAACAGAATAAAAAAGTACTATATTTAATACCATTACTATGTTTTTATCACTTTTATTTTTTACATAAGTTTTTCTTATAAATCAAAACACTTGTTAATGATTTAAAAATATTCAATGAAAAATTAAACTTTGTAATATATTATATTTCAATTGATTTTTATTATTATTAATA